AGCTGTAGCTCAATTGAGCTAAATGATGACTTGAATACCAAATGAGCTGTAGCTCAATTGAGCTAAATGATGACTTGAATACCAAATGAGCTGTAGCTCAATTGAACTAAATAATGATTTGAATGCCAAATGAGCTGTAGCTCAATTGAGCTAAATGATGCTTTGAATGCCAAATGAGCTGTAGCTCAATTGAGCTAAATGATGACCGAATACCAAATGAGCTGTAGCTCAATTGAGCTAAATGATGACTTGAATACCAAATGAGCTGTAGCTCAATTGAACTAAATAATGATTTGAATGCCAAATGAGCTGTAGCTCAATTGAACTAAATGATGATTTGAATGCCAAATGAGCTGTAGCTCAATTGAGCTAAATGATGACTTGAATGCCAAATCAGCTGTAGCTCAATTGAGCTAAATAATGCCTTGAATGCCAAATGAGCTGTAGCTCAATTGAGCTAAATGATGACCTGAATACCAAATAAGCTGTAGCTCAATTGAGCTAAATGATGACCTGAATACCAAATGATCTGTAGCTCAATTGAGCTAAATAATGACCAGAATACCAAATGAGCTGTAGCTCAATTGAACTAAAAGACTTGAATACTAGATCAGCTGCTGCTTAATTGAGCTAAACAATTAGCTGCAAATTAGCCAAATTAGCTGCAGCTTAATTGATTATAATGATGACTTGAGAGTTAATGATGATGTAGGATACTAGGGTAGTTAAATTACATGACTAGTAAAGTAAAAATAATACTTAACTTAATATTCTAAACATTTTATGAAACAAATACACATGCATAGAACCTGTTTCTAATTCCAGCTTTTAAGGTTTCATATCAAGCACCAGCTTTGTAGTCACGAATCACATAATTCAAGTATCAAAAGTCAAACATTTTGTCAGATCTTGGCAACTCACCAAGTGAAAAGGATAAACAGTTCAGAGAATCATAGCAATTGAAAACAGATTTGGACTTTTTTTCTACAGGGTGGTGAATTTCTCTGCAAAAATATCATGTTCCTGTTTTTAAATACACAATAAATAGAAATTGAAGATATGCTTGGAATAAAGCAAATATAGTAACTGACATATCTTTTATTTACCTAAATATTAATATATAGCTTGTTGAGATGACATCAAGCACAATAGGCATGTCATTTTACCTTCTTATATTTGCATAGTCATCCATGTTTTGTCCAAATATTTAATAAAATTACAATACTGGAAAGAAATTTTTAATACAGATTGTCCAAAGTATTTAACTCTAGATGGATTGAAAAAGAACTCTGTATTTGACAACAGAGCATTGTTTGAACACAGAATTAAACTTAAGCTTGGAAGAGAAAGCAACAGCCTCTTTCAATATTACAATATCTATATTGTAATCATATTACGTTTTTTTCATATACTTGTATCTATGGTAGTATATTTTGCTTGGCATGGGTGCAAGTTGTAAAAAATTACACCACAAACGATAGATGAGCGCAAAGTCTAATACAGATACAATTATGACAGAGAAAATAGATATTCTTTACAAATTAAAGTACAAACACACAAACATGCATATAATATAATTTATTGTAGAGGTCTATTTAATTTATTGTTGTGATGTTATATGCCATAGGACAACTGCATCATAAGTAGATTTGTATATATTGTAGACATGCTTTTGTAAGATCATTTTTTAAGTTGTCATTGTTTTACTCCATGTTTTATAAAGATATTATGGAAAAAAGTGTTTTAAATAGATTAAAATAGAATATGCAATGCTGTTTTCGAAAGCATATGGTGATATATATATTTTTTAAAATAAGTTGATGAAAGAGATGTTCTATGTGCTGCATGTATAAGGTCAAAGTTTAACACTAACAAGAAATTCTCTTTTTGCACAATGTCTGAGGAACTGTGACCACTGATGAAAGCTTGTCTATGATTAGTCTGTATAGTTTGTATTGATGAAGTGATTTTTTTATAATGTTCAATTCCGTCAAGTTACAGAAGTAGCATTTTCACCTGTGTACATGTTTATGTTATCGATTATATATTGGACATTTATGTAGCATGGTTAATTGAAAAGATGTTGACAATATTGGGCAACTTGGTGTTTAGTTGCCCAATTGAAATTAGTCCACAGCATAAATAGCAGCTGGTGTTTAACAGGGTACCAGGGCTACCTACAGTTAATGTGGTAACATGCATCCATTGTTCATTTAACTCCAGAAGTAGATTTCTTATACTGTCAAATACAGGTGTCATCACCTCATACTGTGCAAGCTCATTTCACTTCTTATACTATAACTCCCAGTATATGATTTACCTATATTTTTATATTATGTATTTTATATCATTTTGTAAAAATGAAAAAAAAAGATTGATCAACTACATTGTAATTTTTAGTTCATTCCCAACATTCATGTAACTGCATACTGTTGCTGAAGACCCTCTTTGTAAAAATATACAGGATTATCGTGCTGCTGGCAGATTTTACATTTTTTTTTTATATATGTGAAATTTTGTTCAACACTCGCTTCCAAGAGTTTCACCAATCTAATAGTAACACTGAGTATGGCTGGATCGGTAAAGACTAAGTGAGCATTTGCGCGATGTAGTAAATATTTGTATCATAAGAAACTGCCATTGAACTAGAAAATAAAGATTGTTATTTGAGTTCAGTTGAGGTGGGGGGGGGGGGTATTAAGCTCTACTTAAAATAGGTGATGGTTATTAGTTTTCATAATTGAAGCATGTGGTCTATGAAAGTGCACTTGTGGTATTTGTTATAAAAACTAACAAAGAATGTTGATATTTACTAGGTTTGACAAAACTACTGCAAATGTATGATGCTAGATTGAATTGCTATAATGTACCTAATAAAAATGCAGCACAATAAAATGTACATGTCAAATTTTACTTAAAAACATAGTACTGTGTATTTATTTTTTACCAGTAGTGTGACAAGTTTTGAATGAGGTCATGCAGTCTATATGAATGACATACTTCACTTTTTTTATTCCCAGATAATTAGGGTAATTTGAATATTTGCTCATAAGTTTGACAACTTTATGTTGTTGCCATTTACACAATACTCAATAGTATATTGATTCATGACTAAAATTATTATTTTTGTAACAATCCTGGCCATTAATTTGGCTGAATAGACACAAAATAGATGTGTACTGGGTAAACCAGAGAGTATTCTTTTTGTTCCATGTTATCTACTTGTATTCATGGAATGAATGGAAAATGTTTGTCCCAAGTTTGAATGAAATTCACAATAACTAGTTTAATGCAAATTTGATTTATCAATTGTAATTGCCAAAAATTTTCAGAATCATACTTGATGCTGACTTGAATTATGTGGCTGTTAGTGTTGAATAATTACTACCACATATTTGGATTATTCAGATATTGTCTACAAATACGGTGAGTGAGCCTCTAATCCTATGTACTGAATCAAGAATTTCTGTAGGGGAGCTACTGGAAATGGTCAATAGATAGCGCCCTCTAGAAATCTGGTCGCAACCCTGTGTCCATCTTTTTTCACTTGCAAGTGATTTTATGTACAATGTCTGTCTATAGCGTATATGATATTCTTTCAGTTTTCACATTTCAGCGATGGCCATTATAAAATGGCACTAATGACACAGGATATGTTTTATTGAAATAAAAATCGGAGAAAAAAGATCTACAGTTACAGCTATTGCAACTTTAAGAGAGCCAAGTATATAACAAATATATAACAAATTATCTTTAGAAAAAAAACATGTTTGTTACTCTGAAGCTGTGTATTACCTTCAACTGTGTACATGTACATACTGCGACCAGGTTTAACCTGTGTCATGATAACATCTAACTGTATCCAAAGGTTGATGTAAAGTGAACCCCCTAGTTTTGAGTTTGACACTAAATTGAA